GCCCGATCTGCCTTGAACAAGGTTGGGGACGTAGCTGGAGCCGTCGCAGGTGACTTCACAGGGAAGACCGTGAATAAAAGCAGCCACCCTCACCAAGTCGTTTTGACCCTTTTGAGCACCACATCAGGTAGCCAGGTCCTCGCCCGCCGTATGTATCGGACTTTTGTCCGCGACGGTTTCGATACCATCTTCTCCGGAGACCTAAAGGCCGCCTTTGACAACGGCGACGAAGCGGAAGCTGCCTTCACCATGTTTGACAAGGATATGAATGGTGATATCTCAATGGAGGAACTGGAAGCCGTCTGCGTGGAAATCGGCAGAGAGCGCAAGTCGATCACTGCCTCCCTGAAGGATTTGGATTCCGTCGTTTCTAAGCTCGATAATGTCTTTGTTTTCATCGTTGTCGTCATTACTATCCTTGTGTTTTTGTCTCTCATTTCCGCATCCACTGCCGGTGTCTTGACTTCGGCGGGCTCCACGCTCTTGGCGCTCTCCTGGCTATTCTCTGCTACAGCCCAGGAGTTTCTACAGGTAAGTACCGTTTTATTTACTCTTTGCAAATCCTTGCCGCTACTTTCTTTCGCCATACTAACTGAGCTTGGTTTGGTCGCAAGTCTATTGTATTCGTTTTCATCAAGCACCCGTTTGACGTGGGTGATCGTGTTTCCATTTACGGAAATACCGGCGCAACCCTAACTGGTGATGACTATTTCGTGAAAGAAATTGCGTTGCTATATACAGAATTTAAGAAGATGGAAGGGCATGTGGTGCAGGCACCCAACAGCTACCTCAATACGCTTTTCATTCTAAACCAACGACGTAGCGGCGCCCTTGCCGAAGCCGTTCCAATTATCATCAAATTCGGGACCACCCTTCAGCAAATTGACACCCTCCGGCTACGGCTTACAGAGTTTGTACGGTCTGAGAACCGCGAATATCAAGGGAAAATCCTCACCGAATTACGAAAGGTGACAGAAAACTACTCCGTCACTCTAAATGTCGTCTTCTTTTACAAATCAAATTGGCAAAACGAATTACTGCGTCTACAGCGACGCAACAAGTTTATCTGCGCTCTCATGCTCATCCTTCAGGAGGTGGGTATCGAAGGACCACGTATGAACATGATCGGTGCGAAGCATGACATGCCATATCACGTTTCTCACCAGGGCGCTCCTCCCACCTATAGCGACAGCGCGAGCGGCCCTGTCCCCCCGGGAGACGGCCCAACTGATCCACACCTGATCTCGGAATCCCGTGACGCGCTGGGCGATCTGGGCCGTGCACCCTCGACCGGTGTCAGTCATAACCCTTCCATCCTCCGAAACCGCTCCGGGACGACCTCCTCCACCCGCGGCCGCCGCGAGTCAGTGTCCAGGCACGTCGACTTCTCTCTCGGAATGAGCGAGCTCAGCGCGGCAGACTCGATATCCGACGTCCACGCAGACCGCCAGGGTAAAAACCGCGTCAACGAGGTCATCCTCAATGCAAATCGCGAGTCGGCAGAGCGCCGCCGGCGCGAACAGGAAGAGGCAGAGGCCCAACGCCGTCTCGACTCCCTCGAGCAATCGCGCTCCCACGCCACCGCCCGCACCTCCATAGATTCCCACCATTCCCGTCTTGCCGGCCCCGCCGCCGGATCCCCGTCTCGGGGCAGTATCTCGTCCTCCATCCAGCGCAACCGCCTCTTCTCTCGCCTGGGGGGGTCTCACTCTGTGAGCTCCAGGGAAGGCAGGGGCTGGTCGCATAGCCGGTCTGAGGATATGGAAGTCGCCGAAACGGAGCTCATGGAACAAGGTCGCTACAACCTGACTCGGGAAAATGGACCTAACGACGCGCCGGAGCTGCCTTCAGGCAGTTTTGCACCACAAGAGGCACAGGGCGATGATTCTTCTGATAGAGGGCGAAGGCCGGTTGTGCATGACACGAATAGATGAGAACGGGTCTCTGTGAGGAAAAGATGTATAGAAAAATAGAGAAGTAGAAAAATAGAGAAGCAGAAAAATAGAGAAGTAAAATATTGGCAATATTTTTTGAGTAGTAATATACCAAATAAAAAATTGTCTTGTTCCGTCATCTCATGGATTCCTGCATATCGCTGGCTCTCGCATTTTATTTGTATTCTTGTATATATACTTTGCGTGGTTATCTTGGTTTATGATTTTCAACTTTCAGTGGGAGTCTTTTTTTGTTAGGTCATCAAAACATGGTGCCAAAGCATCATGACAACAAGTAGGAACCCAGTTAGTTGCGGGATAATATGTATGTACATAACATACATTCTTGTAGAAATAGAGCTAAAATTCCGAGCTCCCTGGTTTGTTCTCGTCTTCCTCGTAGCTAACCAGCCCAGCCTCAGTTCCAGCTGCTAATAAGTTCACTAATAAGTTACCTAGTTTAGTTAAGCAGGAAGCAGAGAGTCTACCTCCATTTCAGCTTATTGATTAGTTACTCTTCACTCTTTTCAACTCATTCATGTATTCATTTATCCATTTATCCATTCATCCATTCATCCATTCATTTTATAGTTGTTCATTGAATCTTTCCATGTGCGGTGGCAGTGCTAGCCTCTGTACACGTATAACTACTCCAGTCGATAGAAGAGGGTGAGAAATAGCCATGAAAACTGCAAACGCCGATGATACTCCAGGAACATCATCCGCCTTTAAGGGCACTGAGTATACAATTACCATCGCTTCATCATCAGTAGCTACCCCCCACCGCCTGCTGTAGATGCGGAAAAACATTGCGTGTCTGCATCGTCTTGCTCAAGTGGTCCTGGTTCTGAGAAAAGTATCAGTATCACCGCTCTTCCACCAATCATCGACGAGAATCCACATCCCCATCATCCCCTTTTCCCTCCCCTGCCTGAATACAAACCACCCTCCATTTTCACTGCCGTCCAATGGCGCGCTTTACGAGCTGTCTCCTTTTGTCTATCCCTGATTTTTCTCATTGGCATCGTGCTTGCAGCATCTGTCAGCAGTAGCTTAATCGCTGCCAAAGACCTATCCATCCGTCTTCGCGGTGGGGACCCAGAAAAGGATAGGCCGTTCTGGCAGGAGGAATGCCAGCGGCGGCATGCAAGGGAGAGTGCGGCGTGGGTGTGGGACGATGAGAAACGAAAGCTAGCAGCCAAACCCTCAGTTCCACGCTCTGAAGTAGACGCTGAGGAACGAAGTGTGGGCATTGGCAAAGCGCCCTATGAACCACTGGAAGGCGGTCAAGACCCCCTTGTTTGTGATTTCTTACTATGCCAGACGGGTTGGGCTGGATGCGGAGTCCTATAGAGTTCAGACAGAAGATGGTGCGTTAATTATACTTTGGCATTTGTACAATCCGAAGGAATACAAACCATTACCCTCCGGCGATAGGGACTGTATCGCCCCTCCAAGTGCCTTATAGACACCCAAAGCAGATGGGCAAAGCCACCCTGCAAACGGGGGTAGGAAATACCCTGTTCTAATGCTCCCGCCCATGGCGCTCTGGGTTGCGGGTTCGGATCAGCTTACTGATGGCAGTCGGCTATTGCGGCGGCTAAAAGGCAGGAGTGAGCCCTATGTTCGTGTTGTGCATTCGAGGGTAATTGAGGAATATGAGCATTTGGATGTGATCTGGACGGTAGATTCGATTGAGAAGGTCGGGATGGAGGTGAGGAGGGTTATTTGGGAATGCGTGAAGGACGACGCTCGGGATATTTGCCGATATCCTGAAGTGTAGGATAGGGACCGGAGTGTTGTGGCTTTGTATTGGCGGTTGGTTGAGTCATCGTATCCAGATATATGTATTTATATCTGACCTTTATAAAGATCATATATTTGGTCTTGGTCTAGGCGTGTTGATATATACAAATATATTACCTAGATATTTCGCACATGCACTAAAGTTAACCGCATAGATATACGTCACCTGTTCCAATTCACTGCATCAATGATAGATATTTGAGAATTACCTTGGTTGATCTACGAACAAGGGGGCGCGTTCATAGCGAAGTAGTTCTGCTATATGTTGACAAAAGAAATTTAGAGTGGAAGCTCTGAGTTTTGAGGTAATCTAACTGGGTCTGTCTGGTAGAAAGGCTAGTACGATATTTCTTGCATCTTTTCCTTAACTTTGCCTTTCTTTTCTTAAATATATATTACAATTGTTCAAACTCCACTGTCGTTGTCTCCCGCTCGTTTAGTTACTGAGCTAGCTGACTTGCTATTAGGGTCCATGGTCGTCTCGATGCGACGAATAACTCTGGCTGGATTACCAGCAACAAAGTGAAACGGGGGAACATCCTGGGGAAGGGGAATGAGACTCTTTATCTCGCGGCATAGTAGCAAAAAGAAAACAAAGCAACAACAGAGCGAGATAAAAATACAGTCCCCAATATTGCTTGGTAGTCACTGGTTCCGCTAACTTATACCTAAGGGGCTAAAGACAACAAAGGTTGGCCCTCTCACTCTCTCCATAACTCTACTCTGCGCCGTCGAGAAACATTGCCTTGCTTGATTGAAGTTCTCACAGGCTTGCCATAATCACTCAACTACTCAACCACTCATAAAGTAATCACTCGAAGAATCAAATATTTTTAATGATATCTCCATAATTTAATAATTTATTTTCTGTGTGTCTTAATCCTTTCATTTAACTTAATGAATATGAGAAGGGCTTCTCTGTATCATTATCAAAAAACATCTGATTCTTGTTAAAAACACTCAAGTCTGATAAAATCAATAACTATGCTTATTTTAGCTATAGAACTCTAGAAAAATCTATCTCATGTTCTTCAGCATCTTCTTTATCTACTATTGCTTTCTATCATCATTCAGTAATCAGGTGCAAGTAGTTATTATTCATAATTGTATTGTAATGTATTGTTTGATGCAACACAATAATCATTATCAAATATAACTTCTTGTCAACAATTCTCATAAGAAGTGAATGAGATACAGTTCTCTCATCTGATCTTTGTGTGTAAAGATATCTCACAAAGTTCTCAAAGGCAAATGTCAACAACAAATTGTGAGATTAAGCTTGATCTCAAGAGAGCTCAGTCAAATGCAGGGAGACTAATTCCAGACTATGTTGACTTCAGATATGAAAATGATGTATGAAACACAGACTTGCTGATTCTTTAATAGCATAGCCTCACATCCATGAAATGGCAGCCAAAATGAACATCTTTAACCTGGTAGGATGTTCTGAAATTGATCTCATAGTACAGCCCAAGAATTGAGCAGTGTTGCCTTCTTGTCAAGTTGAGTTTTCCTCTGTTCATCATGTATTTGATCATCTAAGAATGTTTGATATATGTTCATCAATGAGTGTACTATACATGTACAGTATCAATAGAATATTTTATGCAAACTAGTCAAATGACACTGTCAGAGCTCTTGATTTTTGATGCTCACTTCTGTGATACTTGACAGAAGCCATTCACTCTATCTCTCTCTCTTGCTGCACAAGATGGAATCAAATCTAGCATCTTTGAAGCTTGAGCTTATTCATGACATGATAACCAAGATTAGTGATGAACCACTAACAACATCCCAGATGGCCAAGGCTGCTGGCTGCAGCAAGCACGCAATCCAACAAATCCGCTCTAATATTCGGGCACACCCATGCTTGAAACATTACCTCAGAAGGGACATAGCAAAGTTGCCAGCTTGTCCGAGCCGATTCAAACCACCTACTCATAAAACCCTGGAATCCTTTGTAGTCGTTGCGCCTCTTGGAGATCGGGGATGAAACAGGTTACCTGATTCAGTGAGAAGTCATCAATCCGAGACCCTCTACTATTTACAAGTCTCAGGGCAAAACCCGACTCGGCACTTTCAGGAGGGTCGAAGTGTGCATGACACCACTCCTCATTGATGTTTATTCCGTCCACAAGGCACTCGGCAGCCATCGCAGCTGTAGCCTCCTGGGTCTCGATGTAAGAGCGACAGAAACCCCTGAAGAGCGGAGTAAAGCGCGGAAACGGAAGAGTGGCGATCTCGTCTGGCGAAAACGAATCGAGCAGCTCTCGGCTGTATTCCCGTGTGTGCTGATGCTCCTTTTGATATATCACGCATTTCTGCAGAGGGTCTAGGTGGTAGTGTTTATCGGTAAATATGACCACATAGAACCTAGGCTTGGAGTAGGAACGGAAACGAGGGAAACCCTTTTTGTATTGAGTATAGAGGTTATACTTCGTCTTGTCCTCTATTTCAAGCAGACCTTCCTGGGATTCGAATACAGATTTTGCAGCCCCGAGATCATCCGCAGGCACGCAAAGCTCAAGGTCCTACAAGCGCGGAACAGTAAGCATATGGACCTGCGGCGGGAGGCAGATGCGAAGAGAATGGACCTACATGAACGACGCGTGGTGCGTTATTGTAGTTCAGAGCGAATTCGCCTATAATGCAGACAGGAATGCCGGCCTCCTGTAATAGTCCCAGCAGCAGACGGATTTGCGAAAAATCCATGGCGGCGCATATGTCTTGCAGGGAGTGAATCTCGGGAGGGAATGTAATTGCCTGGTATGAAATAGGCACAACTGGGAGTCTTGGGTAGCAGATGGTTAACTGAATTTTGCGTGCATCTGGTCAAACATACCAGTCAGGTAAGCTGCTTACGCGTGAGCCCGTCCTCAATCAGTGACCGAATGGCATGGAAGGCTTTTTTATCCCTTCTAGATGAGACGTCTGGGGTTCCAGATCAATCGGTCTAGTTAATCGTGTCACAATGGGTGTTGTAACAGGCGAAATGTTAGTTGACGGCCGTCTTGTGATGCGTCCTTTCAGCGGAAAACTGGATATATATATACAACAGAACGATTACCTACGTACAGAAACTAGCACTGTCCGTGAATCCTTGGTCTTCAGCGCTCTTTTTCGCCAACCACCCACCACTCCACGTGCCAAAAAAAATTGCCTATATCGAAGAAGCCATCAAGATTTTAGGCATGCAGTAATACGCCGATGCGGTTGTTCGCGTCCTTGGAGAGGGCTTGAACGTAGAGGAACGGAAAGGCTTCAGTATCGGAGTCGAACTCGCGGCCAAGCCCGAACTGTTACTCTTTTTCGACGAACCTAAGTCTGGCCTTGATAGCCCGACGGCCTGGTCCATCTGCAAACCTGATGCGAAAGCTTGCTGACGGAAGGACAAAGCCATCCTGTGCATCATCCACCAACCGTCATCTTTTTTAATGATCGATTGCTTTTTTTTGACCGAAGGGGGGAAAGCGGTTTATTTTGGAGACCTTGGGAAGAACATGAGCACACTGGTCGAATATTTCGAGAAGAAGGGAGCCTCAAAGTGTCCCCTTGACGCCAACCCTGCCGAGTGGATGCTGGAGGTTATTGGTGCTGCTCCTAGTTCCCATACCAATAAAGACTAGCCAGCGATCTAGAACTCTAGCGCAGAGAAGGTTAAAGTGCAACGTTCGCTGGCTGTTATGAAGAGGGAATAGTCGCAGAAGAACCGGGGCTCTCAAGAAGGATCTCCAGAATCCGCAATGCCGCTATGGTACCAATATCTGATTTGCCAACAACGGATGCTTCAACAGTACTGGCGCAATCCAGTATACATTTACTCCAAAGCGTTTATTGCTATTGTCTCGGTAAGTTGTTGTTCAACAGATGGAGGCTATGCCTAGAGTACTTCTCTGCTTGATTTTACGGCTCTCTCTATTTCTTCGGGTATAGGGTATACAATCACTAAATATTCTATAGCCTCTTATTTATTGGTTTCACCTTCTACAAGGCCCCGGTATTACAAAACAAACTGTTCAGGATTTTTATGTTTCTAAACATGTTTCCTATGTTGACACAGCAAAGTATCCCATCTTACATCGCAATGAGATCATTTTATGAGGTATAGTTAGAAAGTCCCTGCTTTTTTTCGCCTGGTACTATCCGATGGGGTTTCAGCGGAAGGATCTTCCACTTTTATGGTTCTACGTTTGGTTCTATGGTAGTTTCCTGTTTCAGGGATTGACCTAGCCGAAACAGCTGGCAATGTCGGCCAGTTGTTATTCTCGTCAACTCTCATCTTCTGCAGGTAGGCATTCAATAAGATGTACTGTCTAGAACCATATGGTAGTTGTTCGCTAATCTTGTAATCACACAGTGTCCTTGCCACGCTGGATGCCATGCCACGTTTGTGGATCTTTCTTTATCACCTCTCCCCATTCATCTACTTTGTTTCCTCTGTTCTTTCCACGGGGTCGCTAATGGTCGTCTCCTCACTCCAGACAAAACTGACATGTGTGAGTATTGCACAATTATGACAACTGACGATTACCTTGAGCATGTCAATATCTATTGTGCAGATCACTGGTCCAACATTGGCATTTTGTTCGCCTTTATTCCTGCGAAAATTGTGGGCGCAGTGTTTTTCTATTGGCTTGTTAGGGTAGTTACCAAAGAAGGGGGGAAAGAAGGAGAAGAAAGAATAGAAATAAAGTACACGAGCGTTTTTCTATTCACTTAGACTTAAACTGTGCCGTTGTATTGTCTCACAGTATGGAACTAGTCAACAGACAAACTACAACTATAAGGATATAACAACAAATAAATTCAGTTATTCATACCAAAAGACAGGCAATAATTAAACCAATGCATTTGACTTGATCACTTGACATGAGGGGGGACGAGAACATGGTAGCTATCTAGAGTATGTTTATACACCGTCTGTTTCCTTGTGTACATTGTTTTGTACAGTACATACTTAGGCAGCACGTACTCCTGATATTCATTTTGCCGGTGTAGCATCGATATACGATCTACATATTGAGTGATAAGTAATATACTCCGCCTACTGAATATAATGATGTATTCAGATATTCGTTAATACCATGCTCATTGTTACCTCTGCAACAATCATGATGTTATACCAGTTCAGAGATGGCAATCCTCGGCAAAAAGCTTGTGTAGAGCATACATCAGAACGTTGATAACGATTAACAATCGCGAAGTTGAGGGGACAGGACAACGAATCAATTTACTGGATGCAAAATCCTCGGATGGAGGAAGGGCATTCATCCAAAGGCCCCATTTGTTGACCTGCTACGGTCCTAAGTTCTGGAGGGCATGAAATTGTATAAGGGTTCAAGACCTGGGTTCGACGACATGGTTAGCTATTCAGTCTTAAGGGAAGGAAAAAACAGTGGTTCAAAACAGAGCCTCTACTCTGTAACTTCTCTTGAGATGCAACTATTTACAATCCCCAAGCGCGCATTGCGCCAACAAGTTCTTCATCTTCATAGCTGACTTCAACTGGGCGTGGAAGGGCTGATAGTTCGTCTGGAGTATTGATCATTATTTGCTGCCGAACAAGCGGGCATCTATCATGCCCAGTGAAATTTACCCTTGTGGATAGCTATTCTGGTACTCATGGTTAAGTTGGCATGAGGTTGGACTTGGAAAGATAAAAGGCGCCGGATTGTGGGTAAGAGGCGGATTAATCATCGCTTGAGCCTCACACGCACGTCTTGCTTCCACTCCGGCACAGTAACCGCCGCCTTTCCTCTCTGCCCACGCTGCCCTCGCCCAATGATCCCTTCCCAACTACGGGCTCCCTCCCGGCGAGATTATTGGATGAGAATCAGCTACTTGCTTTGAGCTTCATCGTTAGTGGGGATGCTTTAGTTTTTTTTCTACCGCCCGCCATCCTTGATCCTTGCTGGCGGTTGGGGTGTTGCTGCGTTGTTTCGGCGCGCATTTTCACTTTCACAGCCTATGAGAGGCGGCGACTAGTTAACTACTTCTGCTTGACAAGCAAAAGAAAAGAACGATGCGCAGCCTGCCTTTCCTTTGCTTGGGAGAAGAGACTGCGTTTTGGGAATCTTGCAAGCCCTGGATTCATGAACTCCCGGTGAAATCCCATCAACGGTATGGTATCGTCAAACGCAGATCTCCAATGACATCATCGCGGGAAAGATAACTAATGGAAGAAGAATAATAAATAGCAACACGGAGCGAGGTGCATCGGCAGTTCGAAGACACTGCCACGCACTTTTCGTGGACTTGGGGGCTAGTGCGATTAGGCTTCCAAATCTAGCAAAGCGAGATGGACACATTCGACTACTGCGTAGACAGGCTTTCAACATCGAAGTTTGCAATAATAGCTCCTTGAAGGGGCCCCAATTGCCTCGCTCCCATGCCAGGCGGGTTCCAAATATTCACGCAAGTCGATCCGCCTCCCTGACAAAGGACCCTTCCTCAGCCAGAAGAGGTCATAAGCAAAAGGGCTTGAGTCGACGTACCGCGTACCGATCTCAAAACCGGAAAGTTCTCCCCCCCCGCCCCCAAGCCACCATGCCACGAATTAGAACATCAAGAAAGCGGAGGAAAAAAGGCAAAAAACTGACAGACAACATTCTATTAATTAGGAAGTAGAACAATTTAAGTCCTTCATATCTTCACACTAAGCAAGGAATGGCTAAAGATTTCATACTCCTTCAAAGTTGAATCGCAGAGCCTGCTCTGTGTTGTTTTGTGCTATGGCAAACGTTTCTAAATATAACTAGTAACGTAGTACATACAATCTTTCGCTGACCCTCCATCTCTCTCTAAAAAAAAGAAAAAAGAAGAAAAAACAGACAGTCACAGGTACAAAAGCAGATACTGATGAGCAATTAGATCTAAACCGGGGAAGTGGAGTCTTATCAGGAGCCGGGGACACCCCACGCCTCTGGAATTATTAATAGTTGCACCCTGTTAAGCAGCAATCTTTGCAGTGCTAAGTCAATAATAGGGTATCCATTGTACAGGACACATGTAACAAATTTCTCAACGCCGAAGCAAAGAAGCTCGCTGAGATTTAGGGTGGAAACCATCAGTTCTTCAAAAGAGGCTACAAAGAATATCTTGTCAAAACATTTTTGCATATCCTCGAGAGCGAGCAACACCACAGCTACTCTGGGGTGGTGATAGTTCTAATAGGATAGGAAGGCATGGATGAACCATCCGACGAGCCGGGATACTTGGGTCGAGAGTTGCCCAGCTCTACACAGCGGAAGAGCTTCGTCCAAGACTGCCCACCGACAACTTTCAACATTGCTAAAAATTAGCTAGCGGCACAGTCCATCGCGGAATCTAACCCCTCTCCCCCTCCTCTCTGCGGATGCTAGAACAGGAATTGATCGCGCTTGTACGGAATAGTGGCGGCGCCGGGGTTGAGCCCATGAACAACGCCTGGTTACGCCTGGTGTAACATGGTGCCGTTTTTCCCTTGAGCGGACGCAGCTTCACTCTTCACCAGCAATCTGAGTTTTGGTTCGAAACCCCCAAACCCCTGGTCAACTCCATGGTAACGAGTTTGCCTCATGCGCAAAGGCACCGGTTTGCCTTGCATAGCTTGGTGACAGCTGGAGCTAAAGCGAAACAAAATCAGATGGGCAGTTACTCCGTACATGCCTTTTTTGATAGTTAACTCCGCTTAAGTCATGAGCGGTTGTGTCGAGATTTACTAACAGCAGCCGTCGTGAACATGAGTTTACCATGAAGCAACGCATTTTTCTTTTTTGCCCTGTTTTTTAATCCATCGCGTTCTAGCTTCAAAAGTAATTAGCCACTTTCGATTGCCTGGTGACATTAGCGCAAGCCAGTGTCCCCAGACCTCGCTGCCCCGCGGTGATCCCAGTTGAACGGAGGATTTCCCCAGCATCAATTATTACGCTGTATTAATGAGGAATTGAGGATGCCCCAGATCCCCCAATGTGGCTGACTCGCAAGGAGTCGCCGTCGGCGCAGGCGAACGATGTTGTTCCGATCCAACTGGCACCTTACAAAGGAGAATTCTTATTGGAGACAAGGGGCTTCAACATTAGTCTACTTACCCCAAAGGACCATAGCAAGCCGTGTAATTTTCTTTGGGTACAGCGTATAACTATGCTATAACAGCATCTTACGTGTTCAGCCAGTCTGAAGCGTCCGGATGTTTGCTTTTGCTCAGTCGTTCCCCTCTAAAACGCTGAAAGCTGTGCCGCAGGATGCTAGTTGAAATTTCACATATTTCTCCCTCGGCACAAAATCCACCATAACGAGTGTCACCATGCCGATTCCAAGAATAACTCAACTCGAAGATCATGCACCCGAGTCTCTTTTGGGTCCCGACTCCCCGGAGTTTGGGTGACGGCAGATCTTGGATGCCGTAAGGAGGAGAAATGATGACGATCCCCGGCCTTGACTTTCCCTTCACAGGGCAGGGCTATCTTGTAGGCTGCTTTCGTAGCCCCTTTATGATTCTAATGCGCCCCAGACATCCTTGCATGTTTCTTGGGCCACTGGGCTAGTTAGAGTCTTGTTCGCAAACTCGCCAGGCACTGCCGCTATCAATTGACCTGGCGAACCAGTTTTGGACAAACAGCCCCCAACGCCCGCATCCTGCCCATGCAGGGGCTGACCAGGGTTGAGCTTTGCATCACTCGATTCGACCAGAGTCGACAACCAATTTTTTTTTTCTTTCTCAGCGTAGAAATTATGACTGGCTGTGCGGCTCTGCGACATCTCCTCGTGTGTTGCTTGCTCGTTTGGTTAATACTTGACGCCGTACTCGATTAACTACCAGGGCCATTAAGTCTAGTTAGGATGGGCCGGTAAGAAGTTTCTTTATATTGAGTGATGATCCCCTCCACATGAATACCTCCGAAGAGCTCACTTATACTCGTATGTCTGACATGACATCATACGTTCATCTTTCTGTCTCTAATAATACCCACTTTTTGCTCAAGCTTCGAAAGCTTCTACGGATGCCACGACCTTGGGGAGGTTGCTGACTTGAGTTGATAATAGTTTGCTTATGTTAAAATGGCAGATATCGGGTTCACCCAAGAGATAAACGACGTTCCTTATATTCGCTTTTCCGGTGATGAGCCATCGAGAGACCCGTACTCTTTATCCATGAATGCGACTACTCTGCCTTTTGTAACAACCCCAGCTAGCTACCCCTATGTTTCTGATACCTGCGAGCTCCGACATGATGCCATAGCGGCCGGAACAACATACACGGAGACTCAATTTCCATACTTGGTAAAGTCTGCCGATAGCTGCTCGCCAATTCCCGCTACGGATGAGATTGCACACGTTAGGTTTTACCAGTTGCACACATTATCAGCCCAGGAGAGCGATGGCGAACCCAGTGGTTTATCTCGTTCAAGCTGGAGATACGAATCCCCAAGCGGATCATGTGGCGGTGAGACAGAAGCCGATTCTAACTTGAGTGAACAGTCGTGGAGCCATGTATATGCATCCCGAGAGTCCCAATGCACCAGCAGTCATAGCCCATTTCCCTCACCTCTAAGTGACACTTTCCAACATCGAGGGCCATCGAACTGTTTCCTCTCCACAAACGTGGAAGGCTCTTATTGTGGAAGTGAACACTCAGTCAGCCTTCGCGAAGTCCAACACTACCCTGATCCAGACCCGGAGGCAGAACAAAGGTTTGAAATCGACTCTGGATGGGCTGGACGATCATTTACCTTCCACGCAAATTTCCCCAAGAGGAGCTCATTTCCTGGAGTCATCAAATCCTCTCTTGCAGACCAAGACGGACAAGAAGTTGGAGAACTTCCAAAGGAGATCAATATCCAAACAGCCTCCCCAATGACCCAAATTCAATCCGAGCAAGTTCCCAGAACAGAGCCGGGGCCGCTCCCACGCAAGCGGACAGCATATTCCATCCAATCTCAACGAAGCATGCCATCACCACCACGGAAATTAAACAATAACCGCAGATCAACGCGCAACCACGTCCTCTCCAAGCCGGCCACAAAACAGGGACGCAAGCTAAAATCAGGGCGGTCTATTCGAGGCCCTTACTCCTCTTGGTCCCAACAGAAGCCCAACGATCGTCAGTTTATCTGCGTATTTGCCCCATATGGCTGCCACAGTACCTTCTCTGCCAAAAACGAATGGAAGCGCCACGTTTCTTCTCAACATCTCCAGCTTGGATTTTACCGCTGCGACGTGGGAAGCTGTAATGTTTCCACCCCAGAGGCGTCATCATCCTGCATTCCGACCTCATCTTCACAAAACCTGCGCTCACCCAATGACTTCAACCGCAAGGACCTTTTCACGCAGCATCAACGACGTATGCATTCTCCGTGGGCGTCATCTAACAGAGTCTCCCCAAGCAAGCAGGAGCAAGATGCCTTTGACAAGAGCCTAGAGAAAGTGCGTAAGAGATGCTGGATTGAGCGGCGGAAAGCGCCGCGGCGGAGTATATGTACCTTCTGCGGCCGGGAGTTTTCTGGCACCTACTGCTGGGATGACCGTATGGAGCATGTTGGGAAACATTACGGGAAGCGCGACGTGGAAACCTGCGAAGATGTTGCGTTGAGAGAGTGGGCGGTCCAAGAAGGGGTTCTGAAGCCGGTTGCTAAGGATAAATGGGTGCTTGCTTCTCCCAAGGAGGCGGCGGAGCGTCGCACCGAGGACTTCCAAAATGCAATGGCGTAAGTGAGCAATGTCGCGTTCTAGGGGCTTATATGATCTTACATGCCTTTTGTTGAATCGACTGATGAATCTTTTTCTTTTGGTTCTGTTTCCACTATTGGGCTTCTCCTACGGCGCGGTGTGCTTTAATGACATGGAAGTGCAGATATATATAGCGGTTGGATACGATTATGATTCATGTGAACTTGGTTGAACGGCTGTTAGATATTTATATATAATATTGAACGCAATAGTTAGCTTTTACTTCTCTCCTGTTCTACTGTTCTGATACCCCGTTAATGATACATGCACTACTACTACGCGGTTCACTCAATTTCAACAGACCACCCCTTAAACTTCGAGTACATGCACATGAGAATCTGTCAGAGTTTCATGATGAAAAAAGAATAAGGCCGTTATGGCTGTATCACTTTGAATTTCCAAACATTTTTGTTGGATTGAGAACCTACACTAACTGCCCCAGGATCGTAACCTCGTTCCACCTTGTAACCTAGGGCTATACGAACCATAATAATAATATCATGGCCCCAGAATAGGGTTACAGGTTAATATCAACAGAATATCAACAGAATATCAAATAGAGCTACATATATATAAGCCCGCAGTAACCAAATAACCCCCCCTCCAAGAGAAAAGAAAGTGAAAAAAAAAGATCAATGCAGCAAGAGACCCGCTATGCACTGCACAGAATGCAGGGTGTTGTCGTATATGTATGTATGTAGGTATGTTGCATTCGACGAATAAGCATGAAGCATAGCTCAACAACGGAGTACGAACAGACGAAGACTAGCAAAACTAGCAGCAGAATGAAATACAATCGATGCAGCATTCACATGCCTCCTCGCAAAGGAAGCAACAACAGAGCGTTGCCAGACTGATATCATAGGAAAAGAGATATTAGTGATACTGTAAATTTTTGAAAGGGAGAGGTGGGTATATAATATATATATATATATATATGTGTGTGTGTTTTTGTGTATGATAATAGACGTACCAGGCCATTAAGCATCCACGTTCTTTATCCCTGGGGGATTCTGGCGGAGGAGCCTGTTGGTATTGCATCTGCATCTATGCGGTGGTTTGTGTCAGGCGTTATTTATGAGCTTGGGCGCTCCGGCAGCAAGGAACGGGAGGGAGGGATAGGATAGAGAATGGAAAACGTACCGGAGGAGGGCCCGGAGGGGGATATCCCTGTTGCGGATAGCCCTGCGGGTAGCCACCGTAGCTAAAGCGGGGACAAAAAACTAGTGTGTTAGGTGGTTGTTGTGATTGTAGAAGGGCGAGCGAGCGGGTGAAGGGGATCGAGGGAAGAACTTACGCTTGCTGGGGAGGTGGAGGCTGTTGCGGGTAATTACCCTGAGAAGCCATGATGATGTCTCTAGATAGAGGAGAGAGCGAGATAGGGGTAAAGTTGTTGGGGTTTAACGCAAGGAGAAAAGAGTAGTCTCTAGATTATAATTTAGAACTGGAGAGAATAATGGTGGTATAGTTTTGCTCGCTTGGGGTCAGCAGACTCGATAGTTGTGTTGGATCGTATAGACGTCTAGACACAGTAGTATCTAGGTGATTATTATTCGAAGAATAACAACAACCTCGCCACCGAGGGAATTTTGGTCGTAACCTTATAAGTCTTATAGATGATGAATCGATTCCGGGGTGGATAATAATGATCTACGCGGCGTAGAACAACCATCGCGCCGTGATAACCCTATTAGCGCCATATTAGCGCCAATTTAGCGCCTAGCCACAGTCCAGCCACGTCGAACCACATACTTAGTCATCCCGCTTGTGCCTGGGCCCTGTCCGCCAGCCAATCACACAATAAGCTCTCCCGCTCAGCCGTCGGATAAATGGCTTCACCGGCGCCCGATGGTGGCATCCCCACAGCAGCAACCAGTAGGAATCGATGGCCCGCGTTCAGCCCTAGACCCTGAGCCCCGCTCTGGTGAGGCTTGACGAGGATCAACAGTTCATCCAAAGGCGGAAGGAAGCGCCCTGAGCTAGCCAATCAATCCCGAGGCAGATCCATTAAAATGGTCAGCTGGACACAGAATTGAATATCATGATCACCAGACTCCGCACTCCCGCAGCAACAGCGATTCGGGCATTCCTTGTGCGTATTATTATTATTATTATTATTATTCATGCACGTTTGTTAATTATCTTGCTAGTGCAGCGTGTAGATTACACATGTACAGCGTTGGGATAAAGCCACTCGAAAGAGGCGGAAAGAGGGAGGGAGAAACATGTTTTAGATTTTTCAGTATCTGGAACTTTAAAAAACCCGGGTGGACGGATCAATGTCGTAGGAAGGAGTTAGTTGTTTTTTTTTTTTTAAAAAAAAAAACATTACAATAGGTACTATTAGCATTATTTCAAAAAGTGCCGCAGAGGGGAACCGCGCTAGCTACTATGTTTCAGCGAGCACATAGAAATCAGAAGGGGGGGAGAGATTCAAAAATAAGGAAAATCGAAGAGGAAAAACGTAGGTTATACATAAAACTACTGAATCGCGGGAGATTTTCAGGCGATTATTGAATAGACCAGGGCAAGATATATATTTAGGGAATAAAAGAAAAGAAAAGAAAAGTAGAAAATAGAAATAGTAGATAGGTAAACCATCATACTCGTTACAGTCATCATTCAAAGTACGTTAAAAAGTAGATTCGTAGTCCGCTAACATGGTGAGATGTTGGACGGATGATAAGAATCCGAAGGAAAGAAGTGTGGAGGCAATAAATGCTCCAGCTTGGAAAATGAGAAAATTAAGATTAGACAAAGTGAAAGAGGAACAGAGAAAAAGAGAAAAAAGTACACGAAAAAGTAGAATGAGAAAAAAGAAAAAAGAAAAAGAAAAGAAAAGAAACGAATTAGACAAGTCGAAAAAGAAGAGAAAGCTGAAATAGAAGTAGAGGAGATTGAAATAGAAGAAGAAATTTTGGGCTCGTAGACCAACGGTGTTCTACAACATAACGGGAATAAAGGGGTCGAGCCCACCCAACTGATGAGCATCGAACAGAGACGGATCGAAGAAGGATGATGAATCAAGAACATTCATCGACATTTGTTCAACACCATCATACCCACTAGGGAACCCCTGACCATAGAGATCTGAGTTCGAAGTCGTCGCGTTGAGGTCGTCAAGGTCGATAGTCATCGTTGAGTAAAGATCTGTGGTTGTTTCTGGTGTGATAGAGACCTCGTCCGATTGACTTGGGTTTCGGCTGTCGTTCTGGTCTTGGGAGTCATTTGTGTAGCCCTTGCTGTCGTTGGGTTCGGAGGGACTGGCAGCGATATTTTCCTCAGCCACGTTGTCACTGTCGATGACGTTGTCGATGACATATTCTTCTCGTTGTTCCATCCAATGCTTTAGCACATCCATGGGAGGAAGAACGCCGCCACCTTTACCACCGCGTTTTTCGCTGTCTTTTCCGCGGCCTCCGCGCCCACGCTGACATGGGTTGAAGTGGGTGCGTCGAAGGTGAGCGGCGGCATTGTAGTTGGCGCCGTACCGTTTTCCGTTACGGCAAGCCTTGCAGTTTGCGAGGAACTGCTTGTCAGGCGAGATGTCAACACACACCCAGACTTTGCGGACCATTGAGTGGACACGCTCAACGTGCCTCCTCAACTCGTGTTCGCCGTGAAAGCCATCTGGGTGTTCCTTGCAGTTACCACAGTAAGTCTTCGTTCTGGCGGGACGGTGAACAGAGGCTTTTGGAATTGCGGCTACTTCTCGTGACGTGCCATCTTCCGACGAAATCCTAAGCATTGTGTGCTCTGCAACTTTTGAGTGTGAAGCAGTTTTCTTTTCTTGTTTTGGGGCGATACGCCGTGTGCCTTGCACAATTTGCTCCTGAGTCCTCCGCACAGCCCTAGACTGATTTGACAGCGACGAGCTATCGCTCGCGCTAGACAGAGAATGCTTCATCTCAGAAGATGAAGGAGTTAAAGAAAGGGGGGATGAGGACGACGGGGAACAAGCAAGGGAAGTAGAAGGAGAAATGTTAGGGAAAGCAGGCCTGGATTCAGGCAACGATTGAGAAAAAAAGCGAACATTATTCATGTTACTACTCGAACGAAAATTCGAAATAGGAGATGGGGCAATGCAATAATTAGCGTCATTGTTTATGTTTAATGACTGATGAGAGAGATGAGAGGAAGAAGAATGATCATCTAGCGTTGCCAGATTGTTAGGCACTGATCCGGTCGAATCGAACCGGATCATACCCATTCCTCCGCAGAGAGAATCTGTTGTTGCAGTTCGACTCATCTCAACAGCTGCGGTCGAGTTACTTCTCGAATAATTTCGAGATGGTGGGGGAACCAAACCGTCAGAGAAGGGGGTGGTATACTGCCACTTCTCGTTGCTCAACGGGGAGGACTCGGGGCCGGGCTCAAACATGAATGGTGAGTCAGGAAGACCATCCAAAGACTGCTGCTGGGCGTACTCCGAAGGGGAGTATTCGTGAATATTGCTGATGTTTAGCTGTTGGGCTTGGAGGGAATACTGTTGCTTAGGAGCCAAAGGTGTCGGGGGGGTAGTGGCCGAAACCGGGACGCCTAGTGAGTGTGGAGATGACACATTGGGGAGCTTTCCGGCTTTCTGGAGTGGTGAACCCCCGTTTCGCGACCTGGTCGAGAGGCGACGGTTCACACGGACAGTGGCAGGAGATGCACGTTGGGGAACTGGGCGACTTGGATCAACCGCGGTTTGAGATTCCGGAGTCTACATGCAGCCGATGTTAAACCAGTGAAGAGGAGACAAGAAGAAGGGACATGAAAACCAAAGAAGTGGTGACCTACGGTGGCTCGCCGTTTGGCTGGAGGTGATGCTGAAGCTATCGTGCGCGGCACATCTTCCCAGGATCGTTTGGCAGCAGGGTCCGGGGTTCCACTCGCATCGCCGTTTTTCAACGTGTTTCCGGCGAGTACATTTTGATGAGGCATGAATGAGATGAGGAGTTGGCTCCAAAGTTGTTCACGTTCCAACTCGGGGAGATGTGCATTGTTGGCCAAAAAGACGTTCCGGGAGGAGGTGAGAGCCGATGTGAAGAGGCTATCGTCGAAAGTAGGGGCCATGGCTATGTTTAGATGTGCCTCAAATCGTGTTATCTAAGTGTTGTAGTTGGAGTCGTGGTTGTGGTTGTGGTTGTGGTGGATGTGGTTCCGGTCCTGGTCCTGGCTCCTTGAAGGAGTTACGAGAGAGAGGGATTTTGGGGAGAAGGCAGGTAATCTGGGTTGTATTAATTAATATTCAGTTTTTCCCCAAAAGCGAGGATCAGTATTATTGAATTGACATACAAGAGGGATAGATAGTCAGAGAGAAGACTTCCTGATCTTCTGATCTGATAGCGAAGCCTTTGCAGGACTGTCCTGACAAAATGTCTGTATGTATTTCGGGAGGGAGTGAAAGGGAAGGCCGAGAGAAGAGCAATCGGCGGAGGGCGAAGAGAGGACAAGCAGGACTATAAAACGGAGCAGAAATTCCTTCTAGCTGGATTGGGGGATGCAGCCGTGCATGAAGCCGCAGCCAATACGAGCATGTCGACGTTGAATAACCATGAAGTTATTAAGGCAGTGATTGGAGAGTGAACCCGCAGGGCCACTAAGGATGAAGGAATGATGAGAATTGGGACTGGTTTGACCCGGTGCAGGATCCTCGTATCGCGACATCAATAATAATTATTATTATTGGGATCCGGCACAAAGACACAAAACAAACCCGGGTTCGACTCTCTGGCTGGCAGTTCCAGTTGGAAATAGTTACGGGAGCGTATTCTGACAGAACCTTCGTCCCTTTGTCCAACCAATACACTTCCAGCTAACTAGTTACTGCTAGCTACTGCCAACCAGGACTCCAATGGACCCGCAGCTTCAAAGTGAGGCGACCAAAGGAACGTCGTCCTGCCGCAAAATCGGGCGACGGTTGGATTGTGAATGGGCCTGGTTTTTGGCCCGGCTGCTTAGGGAGTTGCCGGCCAGTTGTCGAATGAACATGGGCTCCAATAATAATTGATCCAATTCTCGCCCGTGGGTCATGATGGGTTTTTCTTGTTCCTATTATCAACAAGATGGTGCCCCACCAAACCGTTCTCTCTTTTCTCTCTCTCACCATCACAACAGTCCTGGCTGAGAAAGCTTTAGACCTTCCCCTGCCGCCTTCACATTCGTCCCAAGGGGGGGGGGATTCTCTCAGGATCATTTACTCTATACACCGTACGGAGTATACTCAAGTGATAGGCCTCCAGAGAGTTCCTACATCATCTGAGACGACGAGGAGAACTGCGGAACTGCGGAACAGCGGATAGCCCAATTCATTATATCCCTAGGTTACTACTATTGTCGACGCCAGGACAAGAATCCGCTGCAGTGTTTGGCAAAATGTCCATTCTTTCTTCCAGCATGCATCGATTCGTCCCTTGAAACGGTTGAAGTGAAACGCCCAAATACAGTGCGTGACTGGCGCATAACACACAATGATGCCCTTTCCCTGAGGGATTAGTTGCGTTGTCAATTATCCCGTGTCGTCTAATGTTTTGTCCGGAGATGAAAATGCCCATTGAAGTCCATGCATTAGAGCTAACCTCGTGAGCTGTTTGGGGTGCTGATGGGGGCCAACGACCCCATGTACCAGGGCTTACTGGATGTGAGCCTGCCACGTAGCCGCCGATGTATGCAGCGTCAAGCGTCGAAGTTGCACGCCAAGCCGGGGAGACATCTGCAAACCAGTCATGACCAAGCGGCCACTACAATTCAGTGACGCCGTGCTCTGACCAGATTGAACGGACACCTCGTTTAAAATGATGTGGATCTATGCGATGACCCTCGCAAATCAGGGACAGTCGTGCTTGCTATTGCGACAGCAGGACAACCTTGGAACTTCCGGGAACCGGAGTCACATGCCCCCATGCTCCCCTCAATCAACTTATCTTTGACACTTGCTCGACAAGCTTGCAATCCGTCCAACAATATCATCCTCCTCGAGGAGTGCCGGTGGCACGCCGCTTTACTGACCATGCTGCACCTGAGGGAGGCGAGGCTTGGTGAGATACTACTGGGTAATCGCCCATGACCCTTGAGGTTTGGGGCCCTCTTTGCGTGTGCTTAGACCATCCAGATAGCAAGATTGAAGGGTGATGAGTGTCTACTAGTAGCAGTAATTCCCAGCTCTTGGTAAAAGAAGGGGCCATGTCAAGCCCAAGCGCTTAATTAATGGTTGATGGTTGCAGCTTGCCTAGAGCCATCCTCTAGGCTGAAAGCAACAGCGCTCTTCTTAAAGTCATTCATTGCCTCAATTCATGGCGTCAGCTGTTCTGCTAACTAAACCTCTCTTGCGAAGCCAAAAAAAAAAGGGATAACACTCAGGCATTTACAATACCTATATCCAAAGTAATTCCACCCAATCCGACAAGCGATAGAATGTCAAGTCTCCGACTCTGAGTTGCCTTAGACACTTTGACGCTGCGAAACTCTGGCAGCTAGCATAGCAAACCCTCAGGACTACACGATCGGCTGAATCTGTGCCATCGTTCTCGAGTATGTCGCGGCACAAGCTTTTCTTGATGAAAAACACCCAACCACTAGGCAAACGGAAGCCTAATGAGAACAATGATTACACCCTGGGAAGAGTGGGGAACCACAATGTTGCCATAGCTGTCTTGCCTGATGGAGAGTATGGCACTTCCTCTGCAGCAACAGTGGCAATGGTGTTTTGTTTTCCCAACATTAGAACGGCCTGATGTCGGCATTGGCGGCGGCGTCCCAAGTCAGCATGATATCCGCCTGGGTGACATTGTGGTGATCAGTCCGCGGGATGGGATGGGTGGGTGGTGGGTTCCAGTATGACTTCGGCAAAACGATTCATGTGGATAATTTCATACAGACAGGGGTTTTGAACCAGCCGCCAACAGTCCTACAGGCTGTGAATAGACTCAAGGCACATTTTGAAAATGAAGGTCTTGAGCTCATGAAGGTTGTCAACAGTGTTCTTGAGAAGAAGCCGAGGTTACAAAAGAAGTATAAGCGACCAGAACCAAGTAGTGACAGGCTATATAAACCTGGATTCATTCATCCCCTAAACATTAAACCAAGCTGTGCGGTAGTCTGTGGTGATCATCCATCAAAGTTGACAGTTCGTGCCCAACGGACTGAAGATGGTGATTATCCAGCAATCCACTATGGTTTAACTTTCCCTGTCTGGTAATTCGCGGAATATGCGACTATTCAGAGTCTCACAAGAATGAGGAATGGCAACGATATGCAGCGATGGTGGCAGCTGCATATGCTAGAGATCTTCTCTACCGCCTCCGTCCAGGGAACGTGGAGGTTGAGAAGCCGATCAGGGATATCCTTTCTTCTGGTGAGTCTGGCTCAGTCGATACTCCTTCAAATCATCCCGCTAATCAATGTTTTAAGTTGAGCATAGGGTGAATCAACTGCAGCAGACTTCTCAAAAAATAGCTTGTGCCGTTAAACACCTGGGCAACGAGACAAACAAAGATAGATCGAACGCTGGTTATCACCGCCAGACAACAAAATGTGCAATCCGCTTGGAGCCATAATTCATGGCCATTCTCCATTGGAGATTCGACCGACATTACAGCGAATACATGCCTCTCCCCATCCATGGTCAACCCTCTTCTTTCTTGTTTGGCCCTTTCCATGGTGATATTCCTTTGCCATATCCACTTCTATCAGTGGAAGATATTGAAAACCACTCTAATTTTCACAATGAGCATCAATCTGGAATCAAAAATCCACAACATCCCAATCTACCACATCTGTGATACACCACTCTCTCTGCTCACTATATCAGCTTGTTGAGGATCTCTGTGCCTCAGAGTTCATTATGATGGGCTATGAGTGTGAATACTTTTTTTCCACTGCAAGCCTCACTAGTCATTGGCTTGCATTTCAGACTCTCAGGCCAAAGATCCCGCCTATTAAGCTATTCTTGCCAGCATGGTGGAAGCACTGGTGGATGCATTCAAAGAAGACTAGAACACAGAATTCACTGAAATAACACAATGGACAAATTCAAACAGCAGAGTTTCAATTTCATGAGAGAAGAGACCTCATTCTGAACTTCAAAGATTGGCCTTTATTGCACAGTCCCTGGATTTCCATGAGACTGGCTTCAGTGACATGACAGTGGAGCAACCTTTCTCCAAAAGAAACATCAGAGTGCCGAATGGAAACTTGTACACACTATAGTGATTAAGATTTATACAGTGAAAAATTTGAGGGTTCAGTAAATTTATCGGCAAAAGCTCTGACTCCAACATACAGGTAGTGTGGCTGGCTCAATCCACAGAGAGTCTCCATGTATCCTTCTGTACCATGGCTACTAGCTAGGAGCCGCAAAGCTCAATCTGCTTGAACATTAGAGAGAAAGACATTTTAGTTTCTATAAGCTGAGGTGTGAGGACTGAATGGATAGACAATTGATGACACTGCAGGGCATAGCACTCTTAGAGGGAGGATTCTGGTCGCAATTCTAAACAAGGACAGCCAGATGCGGTTTACTTTCCTTAAGGCAGGTGAATGTTGTGCAGGAGGTACAATCACTTCTCTATTTTCAGACCTGTTATCTGTCAACAGTATGTAACATAAATCAGTTGAATGATCACTCTTGTTCATATTCTTTTCAATGAAGAACATATACAGAGCATACTAACTTCTCAGTGTATTCAGATTTTTAAATTCTCCTTGCCAGGATGAAAAGAGAGAAGAAATCAAAGAAGCCTGTATATGACTATTCTCTTCATGACTTTCATAAGGCTCCATATGCCTGGGTAAGAACAGATTAAATCCGTAGAGTCATAGAATATATTATAGTTCATGTGTGAAGGTTGTTCTTATTATTCACAACAGATGAGGATAATTTTTGATAAAGGGAAAAGACACTCAACAGAAAGCAAGTAACTTGAAAATCACAGACATGAGCAGGGTCAAAGGGTGAGAAGAGTTGGCTCTATCTAATATGAAATGAAAATAAAGGAGTTGTTGACTAGAGTACAGAGAGAGAGAGTGCTCCCTGTTGCTTCCTCCATTAGTTAACTACAGAATAGACAGCAAGACATTTTGCACACGTGACAATCCCCCAATCCACCGGCTTCTTGACATCATCGGTTGTTTGTTCCTTCAGCCATGGATTTTGTTTGTGGTTATCAACACGCTTTGTTCTATCTGCCGTTTCTAATTCATTATTCAAGAGCTCCTTCACTCTAATATTTCTGCATTTCTGTACAGGCAAATTACAGTATTTATCTAATCCCTAGCAACCAACACTCGTCGGGTCTCCTATCATGGCTAACTCTCTCCCCAAATCCTACTTCTCTGACACCGACACGCTCTATCTCTTTACCTCCCTGACTGCAGGCTCATCCCACATAATCACAGCCACCTCGCGAGTGGAAACAATCCTAAAAGCCAACAAAATTCAGTTTCGGGCTGTTGATGTTGCCACAGATGAGGAAGCCCGCACAATGTGGCGTAGGCGGTCAAAGGGGAAAAGCCTGCCCGTGCTGGTGAGGGACGAGATGGTCGTTGCGGTGAGTGGCATTTTTACTTGTATATTACATATATTGGGTGTATATTTATACACGGGTGCATATGTCGTGGCTGACAGAACCATGCTTAGGATTTAAAAGAGATTGAGGAATGGAATGAATATGGGGAACTCAAAGAGCAACTGCAGATTTCGCAGTCTAAAAGTAGCCCCATACCGTCGGCCACGACTACTGCTTCGTCAAAACCGGATATTACTGCCCCCTCAGTCACAGCCGCTGCAACTTCAGTTCCCAGAGAATCCACTCCCTCACGAATCCAAATACAAGAGCCCCCCCCGTCAAGGGAATCACATACGGAAGATCGCATCACGCTCGCTTTACGACAAGCCGGGGAAGAGGCAGCTTCAAAAGCTAAGGACAACACAAGAACAAACCTAGCCGCCAAATCGATCTCAACACAGCCTGAATCAAAACAGCCGGAATCACAACAGTCTGAGGCTACGACTGCCCAAGGGCCCTCGGCTGCATTAGAGCAGGAGAGTCCTAAAACTCCCGAACCTGAAGCGAAGCGGAGCCCGGAATCCCTGGAGGCACCGAAAAGTGCACTAGAGCGTATAAAAGAAATTCGTCAAAGCATCTCGGCTGACAGACCGTCACTCTCTGGGGTAGCTGCCGAATCCACTGCTGACTTGAAGGTAAACAGCCCCGAAGGAGTGTCCATGCCGGTGCATCATCGTGGGTCTGTGGTCTCTGCCACGTCGCCCAGCGACCAAGACCAGCTTGTCGAAGAGCTTAGTACATTGCAGGAAGGGGCCATACTTGAGGATGAAGGAAAAGCTGAGAAGCCAGATGCCGTTCCTGCAACCGAACACGTCGAAGGGAAGGAGAATGATGCGGGAGAGGGAGCAGATTTACCCACTACAAAGCAAGGATGAAGGTAGCACGGAGAAGAAAGTGGGCGAAGGAGAGACCACCGCAGAAACCTCGGAAGACTGAGTCTGAAGTGGGTTATGAGGAGGCTACGAGAGCTAATCCAGGATTTATACGCTTAGCTAAAATGATAGAAAATAACCCCTTTAATCAGGATAATTCACTAGCTGCTGCTCTGCTTGTGCGGTGATCCCTATCTTTATATCACATCTGGGTGTATTGCACCTTTGATCCTTGATACAAACGCCACAAAGACATTTAAAGGGCTATTCCCGAATTCCTTTTCCCTTTGCGGGTCTCTTAGGCGCAACCGCCCCAGCAACATTTTTGTATGTACAGTACGGTATTGAGAGTATTTACGTCTTCTACATCGGCTGTTTCTGCTTATTCCCTGCAAAGCATCAATTCTATCTAACCTTCATGGACTTCGCATTGGCCTCCTCAAGTGGACTTTTTCCTCTGATCCTCAACCGCATTCCTTAGTAATTTAATTACATGCCCAGGATTCTGTGCATGAAATACAGCCGACCCAGCAACAATCACGTTGGCCCCAGCGTCCGCCGCTAGTTTCACGGTGTCCTCTCCCAGACCCCCGTCGACTTGAATGTTAATCTTGGGATACCGTGCTCGTAGCGCCCTGACCTTCTCCAATTGAGACTCCATGAACTTTTGTCCGCCAAATCCGGGTCTCACGGTCATGATGAGAACCATCTGTGGAGGATTATTGGTTAGTATTAGATCGAAATGCCAGAGTCCAATCGGAAACGGGCAATTTTGGATATCGTACAAAGAGGTTATTTATTATATTTGTTATGGCGGTAGCGAGCGGTTATGGTAGACTCACATCAGGTGTGTCCAATTCATCTTTCTGATCAAGTATATCCCACAACACATCAACGTCCGTCTCTGGCTTGATAGCTATACCAGCTCGCATACCGCAATCATGGATATACCGAATAAGCTCGGTGGGACTGGTGCGGCGCGTTGTGGAGTTATCCATTGGGTCTTTCGCGGCGGTTGACGCGACGGCTGCTTCATAATGGAAACAGTATAAGTTGCAACCTGCTTTCTTGAACTCTTTCACCCATTTCTGTGGCTATGTGGGTGACATCATGCGCAGTAACAGGAGGGGGATTTCAATGCTGTTTTGGCGCCGGACACACAACCCTCCCCCGGCCGCCGTTTGTTGGGTGGCTGGGTGGGGGGTTGTGGGGCGCAGCAACCCCTCCTCTCTCGCAGCAGATGAGTTAGCAAATTATTCTTTTCCAATAAAATTGGATTGCAGGCTGCCTGTTTTCATGGTATCGTGAATTAACAACAAAGCGGAATTGAAACTATTCAAACAGCCCTGGACCTAGCAACTGGCAAATACAATGGGAGGTTGGGGAAGCGCCTCCAAAGTCAAATATTACGCCCGCGCTCATTGGATACCGTCCAATATTGAGTCGATATATGTTAAAAATGAACAAATAAATGAATAATTAATAAAAGCCAATTCAAAGAATAGGAAAAAGAAAAATGATAATCCGATAAAAAACACAACTCTGTGGTCATCGAGAGAAACAGATTACTCGACGGCTGAGGGGGATTATAGCAAACCAAAACTCACCTCTGCAATCATCATATGGCAATCAAAGGTACCTTTCTCACAGTGTTTATTAGGCTCGGCTACATGTTTCCGGATTTTGGTTACAACGGGCGGGCCAAAAGTGATATTGGGGACGAAATGGCCATCCATGATATCCACATGAATCCAATCACCTCCCCAGTCCATCACATCTGAACATGCTGACCCAAGGGCGGCAAAATCTGCCGATAGAATGGACGGAGCAATGATAGCTGGCGGCGTCATGGTTGGAAGAGGAGGAGGAGGAGGAGGAGGGGAGGAGGGCGGACAGATGGCGAATGAGTGGGCTGGAAGAGAGGACAGATGGACTCCTATAGAACGAATATGGACGCGAGGAAGAAAAATAAATAAATAAATAAATAAACTGATCAAGGAATCCTAGGCAGAGAAATAGAGAGGTGAGATGATGCGAGTAGCAAGAACAAGTTAAGCTGACCTCGGGGAGGGGTAAAGCTCTCGCGGGCAATAGAAGAGACAACCTAGGTAGTTAATAGTTAATTAATAACTAACTAAGAAGAAGAAGAAGAAGAAGAAGAAGAAGAAGAAGAAGAAGAAGAAGAAGAAGAAGAAGAATAAGAAGAAGAGAGTTGTCACCAAGACGCAATTAAATGCTATCTACAATAATAACAATGCTCAATTGCTGCACTTTCTGCAATTTCTGCAATTTCTGCCCCGCCATTTCCGAAGGAATAACAAGGAAACTCGGAATGCCGAGGCTATCCCTGATTGGGAAAGGCAAATCTTACACAATTTAAACTAAGTTAACCATCAGTCCAGTTAGTTATTAACTAGTTAGTTATAGGATATGTTCATTCAAATATTCCGTAGTTGGGTAGCCTACGCTACTACGTACTGTATGTCCTGTACAAAATGTATATCCCTCAGTTTGACACATGAGTGGACCTCGGAATCCCCTCTCTTCTCCTCCGTAACTAGTTAGTTTATGGTCATATCTCCACATACAGTTAGCTAGGTATAACTACGCGTAACTAACTATATAATCAAAGCTTGGGGGTGAAGAGGAGTTGGAGTGCGAAATAATAATAATAATAATAATTATAATAATAACTATTTGGCGGCGGGGTGACTAAGTTATTAGTGGCACTACAAGGCCTCTCGCTGCAGCCCTGCAACCGCGCCTACTTTTGGCATCCATCTTCAATCCATCTTCAATAATGAAAGGGCTGACTGAATCCTGAATTGGCGATGCGATGGCCGGCACTGGCATGTTATTATTGGGCAGCACGATGGGCCGATGGCTTGGGGGTCTGGCCGGACCTGGTTTGCTGGACGCTGGGCGCTTAGAACACACCAACCAATAGTTAACTAAGTTAACTAAGTTAATTGTTAACTAATAAAAGTTAAGTTACTCCTCTCCTCTCGTCCCCCAAACCTCCCCAAATCCGTCACGTCACTTCGATCAGCGTGTCGCCCGCCCAGAGACTCAGGGCTCAGGGAGGTGAGGTTGCAGAAGAGGGTTTATGATCAACTTGATTGGCAGCAACAGCCAAATACTCTTCAGGCTTGTTCCATGCAAGGCCCCTTGGAGTTGTTTCTGCAGCCAATGCTGCCAATGCTGTCAATGCTGCCATGTCCAATCATGGCCCTTCGCAACCCTCATCCTGAAGACCGTGGGTGCTTATTGTGACCGCAGCCTGTGGCCCTGAGTAACAATCACCGAGTACTAATACCATTTCAATGCCGCTGCTGAATCCTGGATGTGTTTGCGTTCATCTTTTATTTATTCCTTTCAACTCTGGTTGTTCCTCTGAGTGCATATTGAGTGTGCACCTTTTGACTTCCTCCTTTTTTTTTTCCCCTTCCTTCTTTTTCTTTTCCCTTTCGCTGTCCATTTTAATCGTTATTATTCTTTTTCATTCCTATTTCTATTTCTCATTGTTTCCCTCAGCCCCATTCTTTGATTCTGTACGGTTTGTTCGTGAAATTAACCTGTTGATCGGGTTAAAACCATATCTTATTTGTTTTCCAAACCCTATTCTGGGCACAGTGATCTTGATTCAATTCGCCAGTCCGAGGACGGATCAGCCGTTTAGTTGGTTTTTTTATTTTATTCATTTTATTATTTATTATTTTTATTGATTCGACGTGCTTAAGAATTTTGAAAACCTCCGAATTTGGATTTTGCCCGCTCACAGATCCGGTATCTGCTGCCATGGCGAACCATTTCATCCAAACAAAGCCACAAGTTCGGCTGGGTCGAAGTGGACACCTTAATACCATAATCGAAGATAAACGAGAGTCCCAGTTTGAGGGAAAAAGGACCATTGATTACAAGCTCGCGGCCGCTGGTCGGCACTCAGTAGTGAATCAGACCCGACCGACCCGCCGCTCACCCCTCGGGCCTGTACATCGCGCTGTATCCCCAGGATCTACGGATTCGTCCCATTCAATGCACTTAGGCCCTAGACAGAACCCCGATTTTGACGATCTCTACGATGCCACTGATGAGGATGATGAAGGGGAACTGAGCGATAGTTGTCCGTCCCTTTGCAGCCAGGGGAACAGCGAATCTACCAAGTCATCAAAACTCTCCACGATTTCGTCAGGTAGTAGCCGCAAAAAATATCCCGCAATTGTTATCCCTTCCTCGACACATTGGGCCAATCTCAATTCTTTCCACAAGCATTCCCCTGTTCCGCCAACCCCGCCGCCCAAAATACCCGTTTCGCCAGAAGCTCTCTCTCGCCTGCCAAGGTTTGTTCCGGAGGTATATGCTCCTCCATCCTTAGATGGCAGTGCAGCTTCGGACCAACCTTCTACTTTGAGCGCACCGCGAACTCCTGAGCTGGAAGTGGCATCAGACGTTGATTGGGATGCACAGTATCTACGCTTTTACGTTGACTCCGATACTAATGGGAACGTCGAATCCCCCAACAGTGCGACCATGAGTCCTCAGGTTGAGATTGAGATGGAACCCCCCGAAGACTGGAGCCATGTCCTGGGTCATTTCCCGCGTATTCCGGAGCGCGAACCCAAAATTGACGTACAAAGTGTTTTGGATATCCCGGAAATCAATAGACCCTCGTCAACGGATAGTTCGAACATAGGTGTTGAGCTTCCAACAAACGCTCTTGCCACCCTTCAACATATCGAGTTAGATAACGATAGTGATCGCGACTCTGATATTTCTGGAGTCAACGAAATTGGCGAAATGCAGGAAGTGAAACTGTACTCTGCCAGACCCCGGAGCATGAACGCTGCGATTCCTGCTTCCGCTGGTTCAAATCCGTTCACGCCTCTCAGCATTCCATCCCCGGGCGGCTTCTTTTCGTCACTAGGAGGCGATGCACGCCATACTTGGTGTTTCTCTACCATCCCACCGCCTTCATCTGCTACAGCGGAGAATTTCTACAATTGCCCTTGGAACCAGCCCATGATATCTGATGGCTTTTTTCCCACTACGTATCCGTTGGGTCGCAGTGACCCTGCCTCCCTGAAGGCAGCAAATTACCTGCTCTTCGATGGTTTATACACGTCCTTTGATTCCGTCGGGAGGGAACGCAATTCCAGCATTGGTCATATCGCGGATGACTACGACGAACTATACGAAGAAGAATTGAAATTTCAGGCTACTTCCAATCTCGACCGTACAAGCATTTGGCTCGCAGCCCAGACAGCCTACCTGTCCGCATTACGTGAGACTAATCCCGTCAACCAGGTTGAGGGCGCACCGGCATTAATTGTCGCGGAAAGCCCACAAGATAGTTCGCCAAACTCGACCAGGAAGTCGCTTGGACTAGCCACTATTTTGGAAAACGGCGCTTGTTTAAAGTCCCCCTGTCATCTTGTGGAGGGTGGCGCCTTGTTCTATCGAGCCTTTCAGCGCTTAGTACGCAAGTCTAATGCCCGTCATGCTTTTTCCCATGGCAACTTGCGCTTCGAATCCGTTCAGGCAACGCGGCTCAGCTATATGGACAAGCACATCGACGGCCTCGTTGGGAAATATGCCCTGAATGACCCTGTTCGCCCTCCTTATCGCGGGCCATTCTCCCAAGCTCCCCGGAATTCCACCGTCCCCCAGATCCTTGCTGACCAAGCTAAGTTTTCCAAGCTGGAGAAGGAACAGGATGCAACACATCAGCTACGCAGTTCAGTGTGGGCAATGGAAGCTCTAAAATTTTTGAAGGGTGGTTCTCTCCTGTCTGCCCCGGCTGTGAAGCGGCTTGCTAGAGCAAAGGTTCCTCTGGGAGGTGTGGAGAGTGCCGGATCCCGGCGAATTAGAGTGCTAGACCTTGGTGGCGAACCATCTTGCGGCTGGGCGTGGCATGTCTCTAGGGATCACCGCGACGTCAAAGTTTACACGGCTGTTACGAAGCAGCACATTGTGAATCCAGGAATGAACGGGCCTTCAAACCATCGACAGGTCTCTGTCCAAAATGTTTGGCAACTTCCATTTCGCGACAATCAGTTCGACGTCATATCTTCTCGTACTTTCCACGCCTTGTTAAAGACCGATCGCCCATATGCTGAAGAGCAGGACGAGTACGATCTGTGTTTGAAGGAATGCTTTCGATGCCTCAAACCAGGAGGTATCCTCGAGTTCTTCCTGATGGATTCGGAGATCATTCGCGCTGGATCGTATGGTGCCGCCGTATCTGTTGAATTTGGGTTTAACCTTAAGACTCGCGGGTACGATCCTGTCCCTACTAAGTCTTTCATGTCTCGACTGCAGAAAGCCAATTTCTCATCAGCCAAGCGAGCATGGATGTTTCTACCTCTTGGTGCGGGAACCTCTGCCCCTCAGACGCAAGCAGATATCCATCCTGAAGCCGGTGAACTTATGGGAACTACGAGCAACATAGCCAATATCACTGGCCTGCTTGGTGGGTGGATGTGGGAACAATGGATGTTGAAACTCCAGATGGAGATGGGCCGCGAGAAGGGAAAACTACTGGATGAGGTCCCTGGTGTTTATGCGGAGGGGCAGCAGTCTGGAGCGGGGTGGCGGTGCGTAACTGGATGGGCGATGAAGCCCAAGAAAGTCCATGGCTACGCTTAAAGCTATTCGTCTCTTTAAACTGTCACTTACTACCGTCACCCGCAATTCATTTCCCGCTGATATTGAATCTACAGTGAAGTGTACACTCCATCTTTGCTGCTTGCTCGTGCATAGTCTATCCACCATTCCTACTGTCTCACTTGATTATCCCGCCCGCTTCCCTCATTCCACTCATTCCGTCCTTCTCTCTGCCCCTCTCTCCTTTCCTTCCTCCCCCCCCTTTTTCTTTTTTCTTTTTTTTTTTTTTTTTCAATACCTGTAACTGTTTTGGGATTTGCTACCCTAGTTTTCCTATGAAATGGCAAATGTCAATCCGAAATATGAGGAGATATAATGGTGTTACACAATATTATTATGAATCATGCTAGTGATATGCAAGAATTATTTACAGAAGAGATCATTTGGTGATTTTTAGAAATTTGAAAACAGCGTTATAAACCATCAAAGTTCATACAGAGTATAATACGTGCAATAATATCTGTAGCACCATTTGGGGAATTTTTAAGCATTTAACTTTA